TTAAACTTTTCTATCATGTACTATCTAGTCATTAGTCAGCCATCATCTTTTGTTCTTTGACTTATGAACATCTGGTAGAATTATGCATAAATGGACATGACATTTATAATACATGTCACAGAACTTTTGGATTGGTGCTCTTCCCTGGCTGACTCACTCAGAGAGGAGGAAGAAGGGGATAGAGTCCTTCAGAACACTAACAAATCAGATGTCTGGGTGACAAGTAGCGCAGTCTTGAGTAGCCAGCAGCTGTCAATGACCCCCTTCCATATGAGGTCATCAGCTCTAAGACACCATCTTCTTCATATAATAGACGGGTGCATCTGCCATTCAGTTGGGAACGCCAAATAAAATACTTTCCTGCTTCTGTTGGCTCTCTTTTCTTATGATTTTTCTCTTGTAGCCTGCCCCAGAGAACAGGTGCTCTGTATCTATGAAGGTCGGTTTTACATTGTTTTGCTTTCAAGGGGTGTTTTAAACATTCCTGCTGATGATGTAGCATAAATTGTTCCTGTAATTAGCGTAGCTAATGAACTCCCCACCTATCTTTTAGTAGGCAATTATGGAACTGGTGTATATTATTAGCAGGTTGTGTGTAATGATGAGAGGAGGACTGGTGATTATGGATTCTGTCCTCATGTGCCTAAGACCAAATCCCAAATGGTTTAATCATCATCACTGTCAACCTTTGCCATATCTTCATTCTACATGCCATATATTATAATGCTGCATTTACATTCCATTTTGACTTTGATATTTGCTCCTTCAGAACAGAGGTGCCCTGATTAGACAAGGCAACTGGCAGTTGAAAAAAGTGTTTTTAAAATATGCGTGCACCATTACCAGTTTCCCACTAGTAGCTTTTCTAATTTTTATTTTTACTGAGTTCACCTACCAAAGGCTTTGTGTTGCTTTCTGAACATTGGGTTTGATTATATATCTGTGGGTCAACTGCAAAAAGTGACAGTTGTCAACAACTTCTATTTGTATGAGGTCCATTTCTTTAATGAGGTATCGTCAAGGGGGCAAGAAAGAAGGGGGGCTTTTCATGCAGAAAGCGAAGTTATTGAGTATCCTAGTGTATAATCACTGTGTGCTCTAATTTGTATTCCACAAAGTCCTATTATAAGATTTGCATATCCTATCAGCAATTATTGCGGTCCTCTTCTCAAATTTGCTTTTTCTCTTGTCATTTTGTGTCAGACATTGTTTTCATAACATTGGAATGGCTGACATCTATGACTAACAGTTAAGGGCTGTTATCAATCAGCCATTAAGCATTCAAACATCTATTAGTTGTCTATGGGCATATCAATGTGATAACTGACTACAGAGTAAATAAGGACAGTTTCAATCAGTGAAGAAACAGAAAATAATTGTCCAGATTCAAAATAGAGGACATTATTTTCCATAAAATTTGCAAAAATGTAAGTGCCTTTTTTATAGGCTCAAACAATTTATCTGCAAATTATAATTGGAAGGGAATACAAAGGAATTAGAACCAAGTATTTGCTTTTTAATTAGAGAAATTGGTTGATAATTTATAAAAAATGTATAAGAGCCATACTTGAAGATTTATTTAACATATAATACTAATCAAATTATAGTCTTAAGACATTGGGTAATTGCTTGCCAAATGACCCTCTATATATTTAGTATTATGGGTTCCAGAGAGGAAGCACTGCCTGCTTGTTGGAGATCTGAACAAAATTACAACTAGTCCTGTAATTTAACCTTAGTCCTGCTATATAATGGTCAAGATCAGAAAATTAATGTGTCCACTCCAGATCAATGCTTTGAATATAGGATGCAATTTCCCTCCTGAGTTTCAGGGAAGGGTACATTAGGTTTTTAGAACTTTCTCAAATGTCAAACTCAATTATTACAAGTATTGGAAAAACCATGGCTATTAATGCTGACAAATTTTGGTGTGGCACACCAGGACCTTGTTGAAAACATAGAAATGGACACTGATTAACTTAATAGAAAGAGATTTGTTTTTCTTTGGGGATGGGAGGATAGTTTAGAGAATAGAAGGAAGTCTTTAAGACAAAAACCTCATAGCAAACAAGATCTGTATAGTTTGATGACTGCCCTTGGAACTGTCCTTCCTCGACACTTACGTGCTGGGTAGGTAATACCTTCACCCTTGCTCTGAGGACTAAGAGAGGCTCTTTTTGTCTTGCAATTTTAAGTATTACAGAGCAGAGGAGAAGCTACAGCTTGACTAATTCTGTGTTGTGGGCATACATCCCCATTGCCAGAGAGTGGGGGAAGGGAAAGGAGGCCCTTTGATATATACGATGATTGACATTTATTGAAATAGTGGTCATATTTGACGAGGGGAGAAAGGTAATAATGAAAGGCAATAGATAGGGAATCTCATAAACTCTAAAAGGATATGGTTATTTATGGTGTATTATATATGTAAATTGTCTACTGGCTGCATTATGCTTCACTAAGTTGGAGAACTGGAGCTTTTTACCAAGGGATGCATATGCATAAAAGTGCTTTCCTCCTGCTCAGGAATGCTGCTGAGCAAAATGTGAAGAGTCCATTTCACATGGGCTCCAGATGCTTGATTTGTGGAAAGGTTCTTACATTTTTTGAGCTTCATTCTCCTCTTTAAAATGAATAGTTCATGATTAAGTGAGATGTTAAGCCTAGAAACTGAAAGCTTCCATGTGCTATGAAATGTCAAATTAATAATGAATATGGAGAATTCTTTCTGTAATTGTTTAGAGAACTATGAACTTTAAGTTCACAAGACCTGAAAATAATGTCTCCAACTGACCATTTCAGAATCTTGCAAGTTATCTGCATATGAGATAAAGAGAACATATTTCATGGCTTGGTGAATTTTGATGTATTCTTCGTGTGTGTGTGTGTGTGTGTGTGTGTGTGATAGAGAGAGAGAGAGAGAAAGAGAGAGAGAGAGAGAGACAGACAGACAGACAGACAGACAGACAGACAGACAGAGAGGCAGACAGAGACAGAAAGGAGAGAGATATCACTTACTGGAAAGCATTTGGAGACATGTTATCACATCTTCAATGTAAATGTGTACAATAGGGTTTAGGATGGACCTAGGATGAGGATGCCTATGTACTTCAGACGCTAATGTGGAACTCTCCACAGGAGATTCTTCAGAGAACTTCCTTCAGTGTGATTCTGAGGCAATACTGAAGTTATCTTCACGACAGTGCTTCTTATCATATTTCATTCCCAACTTCACATTCTTTCCCTGCTGAGGTTGTAAGAAGGACACAGGAATTCGGTGTGTCCCCCACTGATATTTTTTCTTTGGAATGACATAGTTATTTCATTTACAACATGCTCATATTATCTACCTGAGGGGTCTTTCTATGAAGATGACACCCCATTCAAGGTTCTGCCAGAGCAGATGTGTCTTAAATGACAGGTTTGGAATGGCCTTTTTAGTGTCAAGCAACTTGGCACACAGCTGACTCTCAAGTGACACAGTCGTCACATCTATCAGCTTTTTGAGGATGACATGAGCTGCCTTCTATCCACTAACGCCTTTTTCACAGTGTCTCCTTATGGCAGCCAGATGATTGTTCTCTTTGTAGAAAGCCACACATAGTGAAATGTCATCCACTGCTTGATCCAAGGCTGGCAATGATTCTCCACTGAGCTTGTCCCTAATAAAACAATGAAGAGACAGTGAGCTCCCAACTTTGTAGAGACCTGAAAAGCTCTGGGAACTGGCAGGTTCCCAATTTTGGTTTTTATTCTAATTACATACTGAAAACAATTCACAGAATTTAGTGCTAATTTAAGATATTTTAATCTTTGTTTCATCCATTAATTTGTCAAGACCATGTTGAGAGAGAAATTTGAAAGTGAGTACTTCTTGTCAGGAAAACCCTTTCAAAGCTTCAAAGAAAAATCTGTCTTAATCACATATTCAACTTTCCCCAAATGTCTGAACAAGGGGACCAATAACTTAGGCATTCTAAGCAATAATCCTTGCTTTGGACCCCAACAAGTCAAAGGGGATGTGCTCTTAACTCCTGAGTATAAAGAAACATTTCATATCTCTCAACCATTATTTGTGTAGTGTCGAGAAATCCTATTCACACAGACTGTTTCAGAATTGTTAAAGCTCTTTTGGGATTTCCCCTATTTAGAAAAACATTTTACTAAAGATAATAATTAGGTAAAAAAAAAAACAACCAAAACCCATGAGTCGAATGGAATACACTCTCCTGTGGCAATAAACTGCTCTACTGTCCAACCACATAAGACAAACAAAACAAAACGTACCATACGGGGGCACGGATAATGATTTATGGGACTAGGCTCAAAAATAGGTTAAATATAATTTATTTCGGGGAAAAAAGTCACTCACACAAGAAGCAGATGGCCGCTGTAGGTTCCCGCTCTAAAGATCTGCACAGGCTGTCCCCTGTGACCTGATAAGATGTAAGAGAGAGCCACCTGCCTGGACTTCAGACCTAAACTCACTCCCTGTCACATCCTCATCTGTGTCCATGCCCAAACAGGCATGGTTAGCACTATAGGTACTGGTGAGGAGGATATCTCACTACAATACCACATTCACTTTGGTTTTTAGATGTTTGAATGACTTACCTGTGCTTTCTCAGTCTGCTCCAACACTGTGCATACAACCTTTGTGTTAGTACTGGCCAATGCAAACGTTAGTCTAATATGATGTGTGTCTACAACAGGTGAATTAAATGAGGAGTGAACATTCAACCCATGCATTTCCTTGTTAGCAGATGGTCTTTGATAGAGTCTAATGAGAGCTCACAGAGCAATGCAGATCTTGTGATAGCAAAGCCTGGTCAGTTTGATCAAATACATCCTTTTATTTATGCAAATATATAGCAGCATTACAGCATAATTCCCTATCATTAACTCTGTTCTTCGCTAGCATCATCAAAGGTCATGTTTTCAAATGAGAAGGGCATGGGTTGTGTGAACTAACTCTTTCATCTTTATCATTTCAGCCACTCTACCGCACTTGAGAAAACCTACTTGTGTGCATTGACTTTTTCAAACAGCAGCTTATGGTGTGATATGGGATCCGAGGTGTGAGAGATGCACTATAATAGTGGATCAGTGTGTGTTCATGCGTATAAAAATGGGTAAGTTATTGGCAAGAAAGCTTTGTTGCCGTAGAATCTAAACAGAATTGGAGGGCAAAGGATAAAAATTAAAACAGACCCCTCAGTTGTTTTTCTTTCATTCTTGTGAGAAAGTTCTTTTTATCACTTTGATCATGTCACTACATAGAAGTGTTGGAGCAAACTCCTAGTGTCAGACAGGCCCACTGACTTCCACCTAATAGGATCATATTTATGTGGCTAGAAGGGCTACTGACTGGCTTCATTCCCCAGAGAGTAACTCTTAGCTAGTTCTGGAAGGGATGTTATAAGCTCAGAGAATTTATCAAATCTGTGAAACCAAGTGTGATTTACAGCCAGAGTTGGGGCAAAGTCATATCCAGCAGTTAGAGTTTAAAATCAGAAGCTTCCTCCCCAATGAGGTGGAGGAAATTTGAGTCAGAAGCCAACAAATAGGAGTGATTTCAGCTTATCTTGAAAATTTCCAGACTTATTCATAAATTTGACAGGAGTGCTATCAGAGAGAAACAGGTTGAAATGATAAAAAGTAAACACTCGACACAAGACCCAGAGATGCGGCTATCTTTCAGATGGCTGGGCTAATGCAGACAGCCATAGCAATAATAGAATAAGATGCTGAAACACTCTTCTTTACATTCTCTGGAACTTGGAATGAATGGGAATTATTTACTCAAGATTTACTTTGAGTTTTCAAAATTAAAACTAGGCTGTGGTAAGGGAAGGTGGACTAGGAAGTGAAGAGACATGTTCCTTTTTTCTCACATAGGAAAACATCACATGAAAAATTTTGACATAAGTTCTATTTTGATCATTTTCCTGACTAGCAAATGATAGGGAAATAAAGATCTCTTTTCTATTTGGTGGCTGATGATGAAGTGGTGTCACTTACTCTAATAATAAAATTAAGTGAGGATAGATAGACGACAAGTGGGACTTTGCATGATTTGCCTATTTGGTAACTTGACAGCATTACAAAGAACTTGTTTAATTCACCTTAGGATGAATTGTTCAGACTTCAGAAAACATGATAATGATCTTAATTTTTAAGTTCCATGAAACAAGAAGGTCAATTGTTTAATAAGGCCTCAACCCTAGACAAGAAGTAGGGGCAATTGGAAAATGCTGAGATTGGGAGAAGTGCTCTTCCTCAGGGAAGAGCATGAGTGTGTGTGTGTGTGTGTGTGTGTGTGTGTGTGTGTGTGCGTCTGTATGGTTTGTTGGAGTTAGGAAGGGCCAGAAGAGGTGGCCACACTTGGCCTGGCAACTAACACATTTTTAAATCTGGCTTTTATCCCATGATATAACTCTGAGGGTGAGAAGGCAAAGTTTTTTTTCCTCCTTGACATTTTAATTTTCACTTCTCCCAAGGAATCCTGCCATATTTTTAAGTAGGTGCTTCGCATGGTGCATGGTGCTTAATTTATGTATTTAAGTAGCAGATTTGACAAAACAATAAAAGCTGTATAAGGTTTACATGGGCAAATTGCCACTGCTTGAACTTTGGAATCTATATGCACAATGAGTTCAGAGTTTGCTAATTAATGCTATGCACATACCCCAAAAGAGTCTCCTTAATATTATTTCTGTCACTGAGAATGTGTTTACAATATCAACATCAAATGCATCTTTAAATGATACATCCAGGTCAAGAAATACTACATATCATAATATTTTAGCTTCTTAGTTGCACCCATTTTTAAATACTGCCCCTTGAACCATATTATCTGGGACCAATCTCTATGGGTGGTTATTAACTGAACAGGCTAACAGAAAACAATACTTGCTTCAATCCATGGAACCATCTTTGGATAATACTGTTTACAGATGAAATATTAGATGTTCGACATATTGAACATAAATGGAATCATAGGACCTTGGCATAGAAAGTGTAATATGTATGCAGAAGTTACTGAAACAGTATGAACAAATAATGGATCTTGGTCATGGCAGATTTGTTCTTTCTCAGGTAACAATCCAAAAGCAAACAGTTCAGGATGGTAGAGATGACATTGCTCCAGCAGATATGCAGGGACCCAGGTTCTTTGAGTTCTTTAGAGGACTGTCTATATGTACTTATTAAAAGTGGGTCATTGCCAAGTAGACACCATTTGGTGGGAAGAGAAAATAGAAGAAAGAAAGGACAGGAAGCTTCACCTTGGAGGTGATAATACAGATATTGGCCACCACATCTTTGATTACATTGTGTTGGTCAGATCTCTGTCACATGGAGAGAGGAGCCACAGATGTGGGTCAGCAGATTTCCAGGAATTCTAAGATCTGATTCTAGCTCTCACTTTGGCTGACTGGAAAATTTATATAAATGGGCATAACATGCTGGTTATTACATAGAAACTCTATACAGTTTCATTTCCCTTCGTTTCTATCGTTTTAATAAAGGATTATAAAAGTAAAGTTAAAGCAATCAAAATATTGTAACAGCTTTTTCTTTATCTGTGAACTATGTGAATTAATGGGACATTTACTTGACTTGTAGTCCATAGGTCTTTTTAGTGTCTATTTCCTTGTTGACTTTCTTTTTAAAAGATAGAAGGTACCCGCTATATAATGTGTCCTTGGAACTAAGAGTCTGAATCATCATCATGAGTGTAAAGTAGGTGCTTTGGTTAGTTCAGTGAATGCCATGTACTATACACTTTCTGAGAGCCCATTATTGTCATAAGCAAAAGGGGAGGTACAATGTTGTGTGATCAGGTAGGTCTCAAAGATCAGTGTTGATTTGACCAACTTCCTGAGTTTGGAGGTTCTGATACATACAGTTTGGATATGAAGGACTTCCCACTCACATATTTGGATGTTGTGGCATCTCTTCACCTTGTGTTTTATGTGAATGAGAGGTTGCTAGGTGGAGACTCTACTATTCCATCATTCATTAGCTTTTTGAGGATTACCCTCTAAGTGTTAGGTTCCTGTGTAAGAGTCTGATGGAAGAGTGGTGGAGATATACTCTGTCTTCCTAACATCAAGTCAGAGACAACTTAGGCTTACTAGAGGTTTTCTTGTTCATTACACTAATTCTTAATAATGTGGAGGCCTCTGAGCTATTTGGCATTAAATTAGGGAGTCTCATACTTAACACTTGTTCAATATTCTGACTCAACTTGAAAGAGTTAGCAGAGACTAGAGCTGTGGGAGATATAACGTTTCTGCCCAGTGATTTTGACCTAGGGGTTACAGTGTGGATCAGAGGAAATAACTTCCTGAATTGCTCTTGTGTGTTTTTGGAGCAGTCATCTTGGGGAATTACATTTTTCAACATAATCTGATTCTGGTTCAGCACTTTGAAAACTTTTATCTTACTATGCCATGCTCAGTGGTCTCTCTACTATGTTTCATTGATCAGATATTAAGGAATGACCAGATGTTTTGTGACTGGGGACCTGCTAATGGTCTTCTTCAATGTCCCTCATCCTGACACTATCTTTCAGTTGACCTGTTGAGTAAATTTGGTATTAGGGCAGATTTTCTTCACATGATGTGTACAGAACCCTTAGCTGTCTGTCACAGTTTTGAATTATACTTAAAAGCACTTTCAACTTCCTGCTATATGTAAAAGCATAGTATATAATGAATGCATCTGTACAGCTATTTTAAAATAAGATTAGAGGCTACACTGATTTTTAACTTTAACTTTATTATTATTTTTAAATGTTTTCTTTTATTGTTTTAATTTTAAATAGCTTGTTTCACGTGTCAATCCCAATTCCCTCTCCCTCCCCTCCTCCTGCACCCCCCACCATCCTCCCCCCAGCCTCCCACCCTATTGCCACTTCCTTCCACATAGGGGATATCTAGAGTCTGTCATTTCACTAAGGGCAGGGTACAGACACTCCCTTAAGAGTCCAGGCTGAGAGAGCATCCCTCTTTGTGTTTTGGACACACGAAGTCTGTTTGTATGCCAAGGATAAACACTGATCTACTGCTCAGGACCCCATAGGTTGCCCAGGTCTCCTCACTGACTCTCACATTTGGGGGGTCTGGATCAGTCCCATGCTGGCTCCCAGATGTCGGTCTGGGGTCCAAGAGCTCTCCCCTGCTCAGATCAGCTGTCTCTGCTGGTTTTGCCAGCCCATTCTTTGCCAATTTGCTCATCACTCCTCTCTGTCACTGGGTTTCTTGGGTTCAGTTCAGTGTTTAACTGTGGGTGTTTGCCTCTGCTTCCATCAGTCACTGGATGAAGGCTCCAGGATGGTTATAGACATCAAGTTCATTATCAGGAATGGGCATTTGTTTTCTTACAGGTTTATATTTTTTGTTAGGTATTTTACATCCAGTTTTCTTTCCTCCATTCTTCTGTCTTCTAGACGCCTTCATTTCAAATTTATGCCATATATACAAACATAATTTCATGTAACTGTATAAAATCTAGGAGCTGCTGATGAGAGAAACATACTATATTTGTCTGGAACTGGCCCAATTATCTTAATATGATTACCTCTAGTTGCACCCATGTTCCTGAAAGTGATACAACTTCATTATTTTTGTGGCTCAAAACCATGTCTGCTATGTATGTACATCACATTTCTTTTATAGTCTTTTAAGAAGAGATTCAAGTTCACCTCACCACCATGGCTCAATTTACATCTGCAAACCAATACATGATGCATTTGTCCAGCATTTGAAACCCTTACTCGAGCCAGAGAGAGAGGGCTGATCAATTTATGGACATTCTCTTGTTTCTTTGTGCATGGCGAATATGAACTTTTCATTGCATTTTAATTCATGTTTTTCCCCTTTTATTGTCACATTACCTGTCAGATATGAACTTTGTATCCAAAGGTTCTTTTTCCTTATATAACTATGACAGTGTTTTTTAAAGCTATTTTTCTCCCATCCTCTCCTCCCCCATTGTATTAAAAATGCCATTTTTGACTTCTTCTGTTTGTTTTATAACAAGGATGAAATTTTGCTAAGAGAAAATAAGAATCTCTTTTCCTGGAGCTGGTTTTAGAGACCACTGATACACAGAATCCATTTGTTTG